TCCACGTAGTTGCAAACGGCAAGATTTCATTCTTTTTGATTGCCGAGTAATACTCCATTGTATATATGTACCACACCTTCTTTTACCATTCATCCACCGAGGGACATTTGGGGTCTTTCCAGACTTTGGCTATTGTTGATAGTGCTGCTCTAAACATGGGGGTGCAGGGGCGCCTGGGTGGCTCAGTCGGTTGAGCGTCTGACTTCGGCTCGGGTCATGATCTCGCGGCCTGTGGGTTCGAGCCCCGCCTCGGGCTCTGTGCTGACAGCTCGGAGCCTGGAGCCTGCTTCAGATTCTGTGTCTCCCTCTCTCTGACCCTCCCCCGTTCATGCTCTGTCTCTCTCTGGCTCAAAAAGAAATAAATTTAAAAAAATTAAAAAAAATGGGGGTGCATGTGTCCCTTCGAAACAGCATCCCTGTATCCCGTGGATGAATGCCTAGTCGTGCAATTGCTGGGTCGTAGGATAGTTGTATTTTTAATTTTTTGAGGAACCTCCATACTGTTTTCCAGAGTGGCTGCAGCAGCTTGCAACCCCACCAACATAGACTCTTACATGGTAGCGTAGGGCTGTGTTCCAGGAGATGGGAAAAGTGAACACATGTTTTCTTAAGGCCTGGGCTAGGAAATGCAAAATATGATTCTACGGATCAACTGATGAACCATCACAGGCCTGCCCGTATTCAAGGGGAGGAGACATAGGCACCTGCTTGCCATGGGAAGAGGATCACAGAATTTGTGGCCGTAGCTCATCTGCCATCCTAGGTTGTGTTTTCCCCTGGACAACGAGATCCTTCAGGTGAGAGACCATATGCTATTGGATCCCAAGGGTTTTCGGCGACTTGGCACACAGTGGTGTCACATATGTGTTGAGCAAATGACTAGATGAATCTAGTACGCAGGCTCGGAGCTAACTGGGTCTGTGGGTACTTCCTTCATCCCGTCCTTGGGAAAACAATGGGATTGCCACGGCAGCTGAAACACTCCGCCAAGCAGCCCTCCAGAAAGATACCTGTAGCAGATTTTTAAGACCACAATCCTGCTGTGGTTCATCCGCTCAAGGCCGACGAACAGCGTCGCCCCTCTGCCCAGGCAGCTCCTCCACGCTCCCGCAGAAAACAGACCTGACACCTTCCACACCAAAGCGGCCTCAAGGGGGCAGGAGAGAAGGAGCCAAGGCGAGTTGCAGCTCCGGCTGGACCGGGAGCTCAAATTACAGGGCAGGGCGAGATCCGGAAGCTCTGGATTTGCAAAATCTTGACACGCGAAGAACAGCCTGACTTCCTCCTTTGGCCTTGCCATTAACAGGGATCACAAACACAAGCACTGGAAGAGGAAAAGGAGGATGTTTCCGTAACGCGCAATGATAGGTATTGAGTTAGAGATTCATGAGTGACCCTGGAAACCTACCCATCATTTATAACTTCCTGCTTCTAAGAAAATGCCTGTGGGGCGCCTGGGTGGCTCAGCCGGTTGGGCGTCCGACCTCGGCTCAGGTCGTGATCTCACGGCTCTGTGAGTTCAAGCCCCGCGTGGGCTCCGTGCTGACACCTCGGAGCCTGGAGCCTGCTGCAGATTCTGTGTCTCCTTCTCTCTCTGCCCCTGCCCCGCTTGCTCTCTCTCTCTCTCTCCGTCTCAAAATAAATAAACACTAAAAAAAATTTTTAATTAAAAAAATGGTTACTAAGCTCATTCTTTATATATATCCAGCACTATGCTGGGTATATTTTGTGCGTGCACTCATTGAATCCTGACAGTAATCCTCAGGTTTATTTATAATAAAGTATTTTGCTTATTTCCATTTTCATACGAGGAAACAGGCCCAGAGAGGTGAAGCTGTTTGGCCAAGGTGACTCAGTGACTGTTGGACTTCCGTCCAAGAATATCTGAGTCTGACGCTCCGGTTCCTAAGCACCACCCTTTCTGAGATTTAAATTCACTGGTGTGATGAAATCTTTAAGCTGGAAGGATTAGGAACAGTCTCTAAATTCTTCACCCCGATGCGCCCCATGTCTAACACAAAGTCTTGTGTAAGGTGGGCTTCCAATAAAGATTTATTGGAAGAATAAGCGAGTGAATGTTATTTACTGATTTGGCCCATCACACTCACCCAGATTTATTCTCCATTAAAAAAAAAAAAAATTTGTGTAGGGGCACCTGGGTGGCTCGGTCAGTTACGCACCCGACTTCGACTCAGGTTTGTGGGTTCGAGCCCCGCGTCAGGCTCTGTGCTGACAGCTTGGAGCCTGGAGCCTGCTTCCGATTCTCCCTCTCTCTCTCTGCCCCTCCCCGCTCAAGCTCTGTCTCTCTCTGTCTCAAAAATAAATAATTAAAAAAAATTTTAAGGGGCGCCTGGGTGGCTCAGTCGGTTAAGCGACCGACTTCAGCTCAGGTCATGCTCTCGCCGTTTGTGAGTTCAAGCCCCGTGTCAGACTCTGTGCTGACAGCTCGGAGCCTGAAACCTGCTTCAGATTCTGTGTCTCGCTCTCTCTCTCTGCTCTTCTCCCTCATGCTCTGTCTCTCCTTCCTTCAAAAATAAATAAACATTAAAAAAAATTTTTTTTAATAAAAAATTGTGTATAATTTACATACAATGAAAATCACCCTTTTAATGGACATATAGTCAATTGTATCACTATCACCACAAATTATAAAATAAATCCATCATCCCCCAATTCTCCCTCCCCCCTTACTAGTAAATCCTAATATGTGCCCCCTAGCTGCACTTCTGGTCCCCAGCGACCATTGATCTGTTTTCTGTCCCTATAGTTTTGCTTTTGCAAGAAGGGCACAGAAAGGGAACCATGCAGCCTGTAGTCTTTTGAGTCTGGCCTCTTTTACTTAGTATAACCCAGGTCGTTGAATGTGTCAATTGTTGAGTCATTTTCATTGCCGTGCAGTAGTCCACGGCACGCAGTACTCCACAGGCTATACGTTCTCCAGTTGAGGGACCTTTGGGTTGTTGTGCAGGGTCTTGTACGAAAATAACTTTGGGGTAAATACCTAGGAGAGGGATTATGGGATCACACGGTAAATGTATAAGCTACCTTTATAACAAACTGCTCGCCTGTTTTCCTACATGGCCGTACCATTTTGTATTTTCACCAGCAAGGTACAAGAGCTCCACATGTTCTAAATCCTCAATAGCACTTGATATTGTCAAATTCAATTTTTTTAACCATGTTAAGGCGTGCGTGGAAGTATCCCATCCTGGTTTTAATTTGCATTTCCCTAATGACTGATGATGTTAAGCATCTTTTCATGTCCCTAGCTGCCACCTGTATATCTTTCTTGGTGATATGTTATCTGTTCAAATCTTTTGCCCGTTTTGCAAAGAGCAGATTGTTTTCTTATTATTGACTCTTTAGAATTCTTTATATACTTGGGATGCAAATTCCTTATCAGATGTATGCTATTTGTAAAGATTTTCTCCCAGACTGTGGTTTGCCCTCACGTATTCTTGTAGCAATGACTTTTGAAGAGCAGTTCTTAATTTTGATGAAGTTCAATTAATTGATTGTTTTCGTTTATGGATCATGCTCTTGGCGTTACATCTGAGAACTCTTTGCCCAACCCAAAGTCACAAAAATTTCTCTTGTTTTCCTCTGGAAGTTTTGTAGAATCATAGCAGCTACCTTATGAGGTTGCTATATTAAATTGGGCAACGTGTAAAGCCCTTAGCGCTCCACTCTGTGCCAGCACAGAATTAACCCTCAGTAAACAGAGCCTACGATGGACATTTGGCTAGGTGATATTTGTAAGAATGGCCCTCACACCTACCACGCGTTTCCTCTGCCCAGATCTGTGTCCTGTCATCACAGAATGACCAGACAGCAGAGCCGCAAAGCCGCTGCAAATATCCTTGTCCAATCTGATCCTAGATCCAATGGAGGTACCGGGACACACGGAGAGAGGCCATAAGGACTACAGGTCATGGGAAGAGCCAGACTTGGTAGGTTCTTCCCACTGCAACTCCATGTTATTTCCAGGAAACCTTGATGTCTAACCCAAGCCGTGATGGGGCTCTGGGGACTAAGGGTCTGTTTACTGAGCAACTACTGTGTGCCAGGACATTGGCTACAGCAGCGAATGAGACAGCCGATCGCAGAGACTAGCAGAAGAAAGCAATGAACAAATAATTACATAATTAATTAAGGAAAAGGGTAGGGTGTGTGTGTGCGTGTGTGTGTGTGTGTGTGTGTGTGTGTGTGTTGGGGGGTTTGTCCCTAACAACTTCCTTGCCCTTCCTCAGCCTCCGCCTCTGTGCCAGGTGTCTCGGGCCCCTCCAGTCTAGGGGTGGGGTAGGGTGCGCAGACACAGGGGCCCACGTGACCTCAGCCTGAAAGCAAGGTGGAAAGGTCCCGGGGGACGTGGGGGCTGTGCTTTGGAGGGCTCTGAGTCAGGGGTTATCGTGGTCCCCTCATTCGTTGGCGAAATCTGCATGCGGCCCCTGCCCTCTACGTCGGGGTCAGGCAGCGACAGGAAGGAAACCAATAACGAAGAAGGTTTCGGCCGGAGCTTTAGGCTCGGAGGTGCCGTGGTGGGGGCAGGGCGGGCCGTCCC